CTCCCTCCACGTCCCCAGGCCCGGGGCCCCAGCCCCTCTGCAGCATGTGGAATCTTCCCAGACCAGGGCATGACCCCGTGTCTCCTGCATCGGCAGGCGGACCCTCAACCACTGCGCCACCAGGGAAGCCCTGCAGTGGTTTCTCTTGTTGCAGAGCATGGGCTCTAGGTGCACGGGCTTCAGTAGTTGTGGCACACGGGCTCAGTAGTTCTGGCTCACGGGCTCTAGAGCGCAAGCTCAGTAGTTGTGGCACACGGGCTTAGTTGCTCCGCAGCGTGTGGGATCTTCCTGGACCAGGGCTCGAACCCGTGTTCCCTACATTGGCAGGCAGATTCTTTTAACCACTGCGCCACCAGGGAAGCCCTGTCAGTTTAAGGCCACAACTTTCGGCCCCAACACTGCACTACCTGCTGTCCCTCTCTCCCACATATTCCACTTTTGAGGAGCTCCTAGCCACTTGAGCATTGTTTATTGATTTTCCAAGATTCAGTTTAATCCTTCCCCAAGGTCTCCCTATGCAAAGGAAGGTGCTGGGCATAAAACTCAAGACACGTTTGTGACACAGACTAGCTTTAAGTGGTGAGTCAAATGGATGGAAATGGGGCTTAAGGGGACAGCAATGAATTCTCGTGCTCTTTCCCGCAGTGCCATAAACCCTAGGGCTGCCTCTGAGTGCCAAGCCAGAGGCCCTGTTGCAGGTTGTCATCTAAAGTGATATCTCTACTCAGGTCACCTTGCCATCTGCTTTGTCAGCAGACTCTGGGGAACTAGCTAAGGGATTGAGAAAATAAACTTCTCAAGTTGACGGGTGTGAATCTTCCAAGTCCATTTCAGGTGCACCCGTTAAATAGGTTGTGCTCTGCCCTCCAGGAACCTCTTTCTGAGCTAGCTTGCAGCGTTTGAGAGGGACAGAGGAGATCCCTGAACAGTCTCTGCTTAAGCTCAACTCTGACTCTGGTTACAGGTCCTTTCCCCTGACCTGGCATCCAGAGCCAGCACCTCTGCAGCTCTGGGTTCCAGCTTAGCCAGAGGGCATGCCTCACAGATCCAACACCTGGCACTCCGCTTTCTAGCTGAGCCTGTTTTGAGCTTGAGGAATCAATCCCAATCCAGTAAAAGACTTAAAAGCTCAAGGGCTTTGATCTTTGCTTGGCAAAAGCCTTAACTGCTGAGCCCTAAAGGCTTTGCCATTTCCCTTTTTTTAACCTTCTTTCATATAGGCCTCAACCCCACTAAGTAGCAGGTGCCTGCCCAGCGCCAGACCTCTCTCCCTGTGTTTAGAACCTATTTTCTGATGCTCAGAGTGTGAAGGGTCGGGGTGGGGGGTGAGAATGCGTTGGGGAAAGGAGGGAAGTTATTTAAAGGAAGCAGCAGAACAAGAACAAAATTAAAATGCATGTTGGTTATCTAGAACATGGTTGGACATGTTCTAAAACTTTTTCCTGAAGGGTTTTGAATTGGAAAAAGTGCAAAATGGCTCCAGTTCGAGCAAGGCAGTCAAACTTTCTAACACGGCCTGACATGGTCCACTTACAGGAAACTCAGTGTTATCTTCGCTGATTTTAAACTTGAACCACTCACATTGTTATGAGGAAAACAACATACATTTAAAAGCAAATTGACTTTCTTCTCACAGCTGGCATAAACCTCAAGCCAGCAAGCCTAATTTATCTTCTTGTTTACAGTAGTTTATTTAAAGGGATGTGAATAATATTCTATACAATTTCATAATGTATATATATACTAGGATATATGTGCCTTTCATGCAATTATGGGATGTTTTGACCATTTCTATGATCTATTAAAAGTGCATTAAGGACATGATAAAGACCCTGTATTTCTGCAGGCTCTTGATTTTATAATGGACAAAGTACCGATACCTGAAATTCCATTAAAAAACAAACCTTCTCTTCTTGGTCAAATTTAGCAGTGGTTTTAGTGATTTTAACTTCTTCCATTTTAAAGCTTCTGTGAACCCTTTCCTGGCCTCACCCTTGGGTAGGGGGGAGGAGAAGTGGCTAAAAACATAAATGAAAGGAAGGAGAGATCAGAAGCAGCTAGATAATCAAACCATTGAAAACTGACTTGGGGTAAGTTCTTTTTTGCCCTCTTTCTTTATTGATTTGGGTAATAACATCTGTACTTTGGATTATGTTCAATACCAAGAAAACAAATAGCAGCATTTAAGTTATTAAAAGGAATCAGATTTCATGAAATCATATATAGCTTGGTATTAGTATTAGCATCCTGAAAAACAGGAAAAATACAAAGGGAACGAAAGATGCCCACCAAACGGAGACAGTATCTTGAAACCGAAAAATGAGGCAGGCCACTCCACATAATCAGTGGATCAGCTTATTATAAGGCAGTTTACTCACAGGGTGGGATAGGGTGGATGACATCCAGAAGCATCCATAACTGCCACTGGGAGAATTTTATAGTTAACCTAGGGTATGGGGGTACGTGCTTGGAAACAGGAAGTGAATTCCGAAGTCCAGATTTATGAACGGGTAACTAGTCTCATGGGCACCGGGAATACGTCAGCGAAGCTCTTCATTATTGTTTGGAGACTAACAGCACAGGGGCCACCTGGACCTAATGGTCATTAAACAACATCTATTAACTACAAAGCCCCTGACAACAGAGATTTACTACACAGTGCAGCCCTAGGTAGGGTCAGTTGAAGGACGGGAGGAACTGAACAGGCCCAAGATGGCATCAGTTATGCTAACAGCCATACAGTGTGGCAGGGTCCTTCCTGTAAGTGGCTGGTGAAAAGGACCCATGGCTCTGCCTCCTGAATCTGCCTACCTTCATTATTGTTAGCTGGACCAGCCAGGGGTCACACATTGGGTAAAGGCTGTGCATCCATCATTTCCTTTTTTTTTTTTGTCTGTGTTGGATCTTTGTTGCTGTGCACGGGCTTTCTCTAGCTGTGGTCAGTGGGGGCTACTCTTCGTTGCACTGTGTGGGCTTCTCGTTACAGTGGCTTCTCTTGTTGCAGAGCACGGGCTCAAGGTGCGTGGGCTTCAGTACTTGTGGCTCACACACTGTAGAGAGCAGGCTCAGTAGTTGTGGCGCATGGGCTTAGTTGCTCCGCGGCATGTGGGATCTTCCCGGACCAGGGCTCGAAACTGTGTCCCCTGCATTGGCAGGCAGATTCTTTTTTTTTTTTCCAGATTCTTAACAATTGCGCCACCAGAGAAGTCCTGCATCCATCATTTCTGATGCCCCTTTCATGACGCTCCTTCTCCCCAACTATTGTCCACTGTCCATCTACTTGCAGATGGCAGGATATGAATCATTTTAATTTTGCCCTTTCTCCCCATTTAGACATATAATGCAAATGCCTACTTCCGATCTAAAACCGTGTAGTCTTTGGTTAAATGTATAATCAAGTAACAAGTGTAAATGAGTGATACCAGCTCCCTCCTTTTTAAGAGACTATTAGCCAGGAAAGGGCTGGGGAGAAGGCAGGCTAAGGAATGGGTTTATAAGAGAAGGGAAAGGATAAAAAAAGTAAAATTGAGGTTCTAGCTTTTAGCAAACTCACATAAATGCATGCACACATAGACATGGAGGAGCTCCTTGACATGGAAATGAAAACAATAGCATTTCTACTTTACATAACACATCATGGTTTATGTATGTTTGTACTTTTACAGCATAACTGGCTTGTGCTTGTATAAAGGAGCCTCTTTGCCAGGGACTCAGTCAAGGAAACTAAATTGTACATTTAGGGAACACAAGTTTGCAGTACTAGGAGCAGGAAGCAGAAAGCTTTCCCCCATTTTCCTAGGCACAGGGCCAGTCTTCAAGAAAATTTCAAAATAAGCTGTTTGGCTTTGGCTTACTCCTACTCTGTATGCAAACACCCAGGGCCTTCATGTGACCTTTAGCTACCTACGGCTGGCTACCCAGTACCCTAAAATGTCATGTGTCTTAACTTATCTAATCTCTCCTTTCTCACTTCAACCCTTATCAAAACTTCTTTTCTCCCAAAGAAGAGGAATAGGGCTCTTTTATTAGCAGAATCTCTTAAAATAATCAATAGTAAGGTAGCATGTCAATGATCAGGTAGTGGACATCTCAGAAATCTGTTTTAAGACACAGAGCTTAAAATCTCAAAATTAATCTCTAACTGGTAGAATTTCAGGTAAAACAACAGGAAAGTAAAAAAATAAAAGTCAGGTTATATGTATATGCTGGGAGATGGGGTCAACTTTCCAGGTAGCTCATACTGAGCATGTATACAGTTACTTTGGAGCATTTCTACTTTCCATAACTTCCTCCCTTTATCTAAAGCTTAACCCCAAATTCTCTAAAATACCAATGATTGTTCTGGAGATCCCTCCTCACTCACCCACCCAATGAGATAGGAGACTTTGTATGGGGTGGGCAGAGGGAAATGTCACATCACAGAGAGAAAACGGCATACCAGGGTGTAATGTCTCCAGTAAGAGCCTAACTTTCAACCTAATACTAGTATGTTACTGTTCACATGTATATAATATATAATTTAGGTAAATTATCAAGTTATAAAAATATACAATAAAACCTTACAAGAAACTCTGAAATAATTGATGCTTGATAATTCTAAGTAAAGACTACAATAAAAATGCAGTTATTGGCTATACTCCATCAATCCTTTTTAATTCTCTTTGATTTTTTCTCCTGGTCTTCTGCTTTCCTTTCTGCAGGTCGCTTCTTCAACCCTTTCATTTTCCTGGTTTGTAGTTTGCTTAGGTCTTGCTTCTGCATATGAATTCTTCCATAAGTTGTACCAAAAGTATCATGAGAGACATTTTTCTTCTTCTTTGTCTATGAAACAAGAATATAATATATTTAGTTGGGTCTACTATCATGAACTGGTAAAAATCTAGTGTACAACAACTATCGTATTAACAATCTCCATTAGTGAGCACACCTTTAATGATATAGAGTCTATAGCCCTACAGCCCTTTCTCCTCAAACTTAGGTATAAACAGATCACTCAGAGCTTGTTAAAATGCCAATTCTAATTCAGTAGGACTACGGTGGGATCTGCAAATTCAGCATTTCTAACAATTCTCAGGTAAACTGTCAGACCATACTTTGAGAAGCAACACAACAGACTAATCACTGTCATGCACTGAGAGAATTTCCTGTGTTTAGCTTAAGGATTATAACTATCATTTCAATCTTTATTGGCATTCCAGAGATGCCATGTCTAATTGCTTTTTAAAACCATTCAAAAGTCAAAACACATTTTATGCAAGTATGGGTTACACATACTATGCTTGAAATTACATTTTCACAATGCCTAAAATGAGCCCCATTTTTGCTGAAAACTGGCAGTCGACTACTAGGAAGCTCTCAGCAACACCTGATGCCTGGTTTCTACAATTTTATTATCAATTATGGTTGGCTTATTTGCTTCTTCCTCCTTTCTTTGGCTCTGAGAGTCTAATTTTATCTATTTTATTGACCTCTTTATGTATGCTCTTCAATATAATATGCCACAAATCCTTTTTTGGAAAGAAGAATGGAATATACAAATAAACATGGCACCAATCTACAAGTCATGTACCTTGAGGGCTTTGGGCATTTTCATAGATAACTTATAAAGGTCATCTGATGCTAGGTGTGTCCTCCTCAGAACCAGATCCAATGAGGGTCCCATCTCTTCCAATTCAATCCGAGGTGTTCTGCAGCCAGATTTCTTCAACAGCAACCTTTATGAAATAGCAAAAAAGAAATGTTGCTTTAACTTTGATAAAAGTCCCGCCGCCCTCCCCGCAAATATTTTTGTTCTAGAAGATTATAGTTCCATAAAATATCATAAAATGTTTAGAAAGGCTAAGCTTAGAGACTTCCCTGGCAGTCCAGTGCTTCCACTGGAAGCCCACTGCACTTCTTTTTAAAGACAGACATTTTGATTCCAGGCTTTCATATCTCCAGCCAAATATCTATTGCCCAGAACCTTTACACCCCATGTAAATCTCCATTTCAGATCTTAACCTCAAGCTTTGTTTGTTTTGTTTCCCTATAAGCTCTAAGTCAAAAGTGACATTCGGGTTTCCCTGGTGGCGCAGTGGTTGAGAATCCGCCTGCCGATGCAGGGGGCGCAGGTTCGTGCTCTGGTCCAGGAGGATCCAACGTGCCACGGAGCGGCTGGGCCTGTGAGCCGTGGCCGCTAGGCCTGCACGTCCGGAGCCTGTGCTTGCGTATTTCTTGAGAAAGACTGGCATTACCACTCTTGTTTAAATTGCAATTTCCTTATTTTTTTCCCTTGCATGTCCCTCTCTTCTGTTGACATTCTGTTTTCATTACTTAACTCCTTGCCTAGAATGTTGTGTTTGCTTTTTAAGGTATGCTAATACTTCCTATTTTGCATATTTCTCCCCATAAAACCTACCCAATGCCATGGCAAAGGCATACGTGGCAGTTACTAAAGATCTTCAGTTTCATATTAATATCTCTGGCCCTATAGTGAATAAAATTCTCCAAGGAATTAATTATTATAGGATATACAGGAAGGTGCCAGTAACACTATGATTTATTTCCCCAGAAGAGGAAAGGTCAAAGGTTCTATTAATGTAATTCCATGCTCAGCGTTCCTTTCATACAAGAAGCTCAAAACCATTTTATAAGCCTTACTGATCTTCACAAATTAATAAGAGTCAATATTAACTACTACCTTTAACCAACTGCCTAAGGGCTGGTTGGAAGAGGGCAGGACACCCAAGAGCACCCTGTGAGAATGCCTGAGGAGCCACACTAGGTCAGACACACTTCAATGGCACATTCCCACCTCTATCTGCACCCCTCTCCCTCTCATAAAGAAGAATTATCCGTCTCAGAGGGACCTTAGAATTACCTATATGATATTACTACACTTTGTAAAGGAAAAACAGGGGCCCTGAGAAGTGACTTGCCCATGTCATGTGGCAAAGCCTGGCACAGAGCCAGGTCACTAGGCTCAGAGGTGATGCTCATTCCCAGGACCACCTCTTCCTTCCCCTCCCAAGCAGAGCACAGCCCTTGGAGGCTAAGCTAATCCACATCTAGGGATTTTCTCCAGTAGCAGCTTGCTCTCAATCACACTGTCCATTTTCTATTTCAAATCAATAGCTAGCAGGTATTACAGGATATAGATATGAAAAGCTGGGATTAAAATTTTACACTAGGGGGGCTTCCCTGGTGGCACAGTGGTTGAGAGTCCGCCTCCCGATTCAGGGGACACGGGTTCATGCCCTGGTCCGGGAAGATCCCACATGCCGTGGAGCGGCTGGGCCCGTGAGCCATAGCCGCTAAGCCTGTGTGTCTGGAGCCTGTGCTCTGCAACGGGAGAGGCCACAACAGTGAGAGGCCCGCATACCGCAAAAAAAAAAAAAAAAAAAATTTTACAATAGGGTTTCTGATCTTAAAAATTCAGATATTGGGACTTCCCTGGTGGTCCAGTGGTTAAGAACCTGCCTTCCAATGCAAGGGACGTAGGTTCGATCCCTGGTCAGGGGAACTAAGATCCCACATGCCACAGGGCAGCAAAGCCCTGTCACAACTACTAAGCCCATGTGCCTCAACTAGAGAGCCCATGTGCCACAAACTACAGAGCCCACGCACTCTGGAGCCCACGCACCACAACTAGCAAAGCCTGCGTGCTGCAATGGAAAGATCCTGCATGGCACAAAGAAGACCCCGAGTGCCGCAGCTAAGTCCCGATGCCACCAAAAAAATAAATAATTTCGTAAAAAATTCAAATCTTTTTTTTTCATTATGGTAGATGCCATGCTAACCTAACAGTGATTCCAGCAATTACACACTTCTTAAAGTAAGTGGACGGACGAATATGTGTAGTTACACTGCCAATTTACCCTTGTTCTTAAGACTGATTTGCTAATTTTCTGTCCATTTTGCTTTATTTTCTCTGTATTTTCTTTCTTTCCTCACAAATTTATCTTTCTTTTCACTAAATACAAGTTCCGATACAAGAGAATACTTCCTTTGAAACTGTTCACCATGAGTTTTAGATTATTATTATTCATTTCTCATTCTCAAAGACTTTTATCTTTATTTTTTAGCTCCTTTGTATCCCAGGGTCTCCTTGTTTAACATAAGTTTTCAAAAAGATTTTTTTTTATGTTAGTGATTTTTCATCTTTTATCTCTTGCTCTATAAATAGGAGTCACCTACTTCATAATATTCTTAACTGCCCCAAAATCAAGTTTGGAAATGCAAACAACAGATTACAGGACTTTCAATCTCAACTAGTTAAAAATGATTATAAAATCCTTTGCCCGTTATTATTTAAATGAGAAAAAAATAGAAAAATAGAAATGGTGGTACCACTCATGTGGTGAAAAGAACCGAGCATCTCTGACTCCATACAGTTGAGACAAAGATGGAAATTACTAACAAAAAAAAAGGTGATTACTTAGTTCCTTTGGATGTTCACTGGACACAAGCTGGTCAACCATGTATTCCACTATGATAAAAAAACAAAATTAAAACCATGGATGAAATGCTGAAGTCCACGAATGGTTGCACAAATGGCACCACTGCACGAAGACACTGTCAACAATGAGCTGTCGGCGCTCAGGCCGCACTGCCACGCCACAGCGCGAAGCAGACGTCAGGCTGAATTCAATGTACCAAGGGAGGCAGTTAGTGGGAGTCAATGTATTCCCTAGGAAAGTGTGTGCTCCATCAATCAGCGCTAACACTTTATTTTAAATAAGGGAAAAAACAAATCATGCTTACCTCAAAAGGCAGTTGCAGCACGTCATTAAGGTTTTTATGAAAACAGAATGTGCTTGTTAGGATTTATATTTATATTGTGGTGGAGGTACGGGTAGAGGCCTGGGCTGGAGAAAGAAGGTAAAATGAATCTAGCCACTAAATCTTCTTATTACTTTCAGACTCCATTTTTTAGACTCAGGACTCTGAGATTTGCTTTGGCTGGGCTAAGACTTGTGGCTTGGCACTCTAAATTTAGTCAAGAAAAACAGGGAGATACTGCATAAAAGTATGGCAAGTTAGGACTGAATAAGAGTTCTAAGCTCAGAGGGAGTGTAGTGTTTGATGTCCCAGGGCCCTGGAAAAGCAGGGTTTCCGGGAGGCACAAGTTAGCAGGGGAGTGACAGACCTGAGGATCAGCACAGAGCTACTTTGTCACTGCTATTCTGTAAACTCTCCAAATAAACTTTTGGCCAGACACCAATTCTAAGTCTGAGCTCTATAAAACAGTCACACTAAAGTGCTAACGCTGAGGATTAACAAAAACATGCTAAGAAATGCACTTACTTATAGCTTCGAAAGTAAATCTTCCCATTCAGTGCAGTGAAGTGCAGAACATACTCTAAACCAGCCAGGCGGACATTTGATACTGTGGGGCCTCTGAAGAAATCTAAAAGCACACATCAGGTTGTTTGGAAAAAAAAAAAAGATTAACATATCTTTAAAATTCAGTTACAAATCAGCTGCATTCTAAACGCAACTCTCTGTATCTTATCTAAAAAGCAGCACTAAAACTCACGCCTGGGGCTTCCCTGGTGGCGCAGTGCTTGAGAGTCCGCCTGCCAATGCAGGGGACACGGGTTCGAGCCCTGGTCTGGGAAGATCCCACATGC